AGGCTTACAGCAGAAGTGAACAGGCTGCACTGCCTTTCTGGAGACAGCAATCGCCTTTTAGGTAGATACGTGCCTTAATCAGAGCTGATATTAGATCAGCCTTTATCACAGGGCCCATTTTCCTTCTGACAGTACATTCTCAACACTGGAAACACCACATCAGAAAACTGCCAGATTAAAAAAAAAAGTAGTCCATAAATCCCTTAGATACATGTCTTGTACAGAGACAAGGACAGAGACATGACGTGGTGTGCAGAGCTCTGTCCCTTGCACACTGAGCACACCGCTCTTGTGTCCCTAGCAATCTTCTTGCAAATGCTACTAGAGATGTCCATGAAACACTAGTGTCACATCCAGAACATCGCTCCAGAGAATGTGGCTTTCCCCTGGTCACTTGGAAAGCTGGAAGTAAAATGTGAATTAAAGTAACTCGCTTTGTATCAAACTAGACTGCCTATTCTCAGTGAGGGGCTAATCTGCTAGCTTTGCTTCTGGCTGCCAGGAGATGATGTCTATTAATTCAAAATGAAATAAACCCAGGAAAAGGAACTTGGAGGCATAAATGGGGTCCTGCTAAGTAACAGGGACAAAGAAAACCAGGGAGAAGTGGGAGGACACTGTACGTACCTATCTCAGAAGCGAGTACGCTGTTGCTCTTTGCTTGTCCCTCATTCCACCCCTGAACAGAGGTGATTGCATCTGCATTTTTTCATTAGTTTTTACTCACATCACCCAGGAGCTGTTAAGACCTAGCATCCTTCCCATTGCTGAGAGGCTTCTTCTGTTTGCTTGAGAAGAGGGTGCAAAGTTTTCAGGTTTTTTTCCCTTTCAAGCTCCCATTTCTGACCCTTTTCCACAAGAACATCCACATCTGTTCATCTCTGAACTCATTCACTGCCTGATGACACCGAGCCAGGAAGGGCACACAAGGGCAGCAGTATTTCTGACTACATCCCATTTATCAAGCAAATAACAGGACAGAAACATTACACCCTGTCCTCTCAGACCTCCACCTGTTTAGTCTCAAAGGAAGTAAAACCAGTAAATGACAAGATCAGGTACAGAACATGATTTCCAGATACACGGGTTCAACTCTACCCTCCTGAACAGACTAACACTCCAGACGACAGCCAGAATGGTTGGCTTTACTGAAGTTCCAGTATTTCAAAGAAATCTATGTGATTTAAGGAAAACAAAGTGAGGAATTTTGCTCCCTTAAAGTCCCCTGAGGCTGATTACCTGGCAGTAGTGGCCACCTGCTGCAGGTCCTGCACTGGGACATTCGTTGTCACTACTACTCTTCTGCAGCACAAGTCTCACCCAGAGCACTCAGACAACCATTGTGGGGTTGGCACATGCTCCCACTGGAAGATGATGTGACAATCACACTTTGCTCTTCCCATCTCGCCATAAAGTCCTTCAGAAAACACAGCAGAATTACCATGGAGGATCACAAGATTCTACAGTAAGTGTCAGCACCTCATGAGGAACTGGAGAGCTGCAGAGTTCCAGTATCACACTCCAGGCATGTGATCCTCTTTGGGAGTGATTCAGATGGCAACTAGGAATGGAAACTAAGAATTTTAGAAGAAAAGGACTTAACTGAGGTAATTTTATATGCATCTACAGTCAGATAATCTGTAATCAGCTATAGCATTACAAAGGTATTTCTGCACCTTCTTCTATCGTCACTTCCTGGCAACAGAACATCTCCCCTTGAAGGGATGAGAAAGTCCTCACTCTTGTTTTTCTGAAAGTGAATCAGTCACTGAAACACCGTTCCTCCCCCAGGGCTATTTCAGTGAGTGGAAATCTTTTGATTGACCTTAGATGAAGATACTGTTCCTTTAACTGGCACCAAGCTCTTCATTTAGAGAAATCACCAACTGCCAGGACCCATTAGCATCAGGCCCTGGTCCTGCCAGGCAAGTCTCAGTAACAGATCAACAGCCTCACACGGAGCCCCAGTGACCATAATACACATCTGACCCACCTGCCACCCGAGAGGATGGGAGCCCACTTTCCTTCTCCCTTATAAAGCCCCTCTAAATAAAATGGGTATTTTGGCAAATTAATTTTATTCAAAAAGAACTGAAAACCCTCAGAAAGGAAAAACAAGACAAAGTGCTCTAGGATGATGCTTTTTAATTGTTATTTTTATAACTTTAAAAACAAATCAAACCATTAAAAACATTATAGACATGTGCTGAAATTTCCTGTACAACAAATATGAAAACAATAAAATTTGTACATCATTTCAAGATATTCAACAGTCACTTATTTGAAACACATCAACTTTTCCCTTCTTAAGCAGGCCCCAAATGGGAAAAAGAGTAGAACAGAAATGCAGGAGATGTCATTGCCACACAGTGGAGCTTCCAGTCTGAAAAGCAAGTAGCTTTAGATAAGCAACAGCAAGAAAACACTGACCAAAGAGACAGATCATGGCAGTTACAACAGATTGAGCAGCAGAAGGCAGGGGAAAAAAGAGTATTTGCAGGAATTCAAGTCATCTTGACTAAGATCCACAAGGTAGTCAAGCATTACCTGTAATCCTCCTCCTCCAGAGATCTCCTATGAGGCACGTCCTACTCACTCACAGGGGCACTCTGGCCAGCTTCATGTTCACAACATTTTAAGCTTTACCCACTTTCTCCACCTACACCTGGGATCTGCAGGTCATTTACTTCAAACTTCAGTTCTCTTCTCACAATGAGTCAGATTTGGGAAAACACATGCACAGAGTTGTATTAAAAATGGATACTCATTAGATGATGACACAAGTGAGAATTTGGTACCTGCTTCCAACATCAAAACACCGGGACAGATGCGTTTGTTTTCTGTAGGAGTATCTGGGCAGTGGTTAGGCAGAAACACACACCGTTCTAGCTCGTTTTCTGATGTTCTGCTGCAATGTAATGCAAACACATGATCTAGCATGGAAGATTTATCTCCCTCTCTTCTGTGCTATACAAAACAAGGACGTTCTGAAGCAAGAGAGCATTTGCCACCCCAAGGCAGCAAGTTCTTGGGAGACCTGGGATAATGAATACTGGCTCTGTGCTCTGCACAAATGTGCAGTAATTAAAAGATTAAGGGAGGAAAAAAAAAAAAATAATGTGACTGTAAGGGGCAGGCTTTCCTCCCTCCCAGTTCCTTTGGAATGGTTCTGTTTGGTCCAAGTGGTTTACCCTGTCATCAGACAGCAGCTTCAGAAGAACGCTGGGTGAGAGATCCACTATGGACTGCCAGTTTGGATGGAGTTTGGCAGGATCATTTAACATGGGGTTTTTAAAATGTTTTTTTAAGTATTTCAGAGAAAAAGAAAATATATATTCAAGAACACACAAGTGGCTGCTAAAAAAAAAAAAAAAAAGCTGAAGCACACTGTGGTTTGTCCTCCAGTTTTGCTCACACAGCACACCACAATTGCACACCAGGTTGTAAAAAATTCCTCTGGATACCTGTAGAGTTACAGTTGTGCACCAGGAATTCCTACATTTTCCTTCAGCTGACAGTGGATTCTGTGAGGCTGCAGGTTCCACTGTAATGCCACATATACTCCTAGTATCTGTAGCTTTTTCTGACACCTCTGCTAAAACAAACAAAAACCCCCAAAAACCCCAAAAAAGCAGCAGAATTCCAGGGACTCTGGTTAATAAACCTTCATAAGATTTCCACCATTTTATAGCTATTCTATAGCATTATTCATAAACTTCATATTCCTCTGCCATGCAACCAGTGCAATGATCTGAAGACCAAAAACCACCCTCCCCCCAAGCTACTTCAGAAGTCCTTCAACGGTAATGCCTTCATAAATCTAATAGTTATGTACCAGCAAAATAAATCCAATCTAATCCCTGACTTGTCAAATCAGCAACTAGGGGGTTTCTGCTTTTTTTTGTTGTTGTTCTGTTTTCAAAAGGACCAGTTAAAACAACAGCAGCAGTATATGGCAAATAATTCTAAACAATTGCATTAGATCAATGAGATGCAGGCAGGTAAGATGTGTCTCAGTTTTGAATGGCTACAACAACCAAGAAATTGGTCTATACAGCAGAATTTTGTGCAATTTGTTTTGGTACAAACAGTAAAGCCACTCAATCTGTTTGGGAGTGCTTGGACACTTGGAACCTTAGTTCAACATTTTTCACAGATTATATATTTGAGGAAAAACAACAACAATGATAAAAAGACACCAACCTGAGTAAAACTCTATTAGAATAGAGTGATCATTATTCAGTAAATCATATATTGCACCTTTAAATAAATCATTATAAATTGTATAAAAACAGGAATATCAGTCAGGAACAGGGAGGAGCTATTCTGTCCTTCATACACACCCACACACACCCCCGCACACACATTCACATAGTCACTTGCTCAGGTTTGTTTTTTTCTTACTATAGTTAAAGCTCAGAGTGCCAGACCACACTCCTTTTCCTCTAGCAGAGGCACCGAAACATTAAGGCAGGGGATAGTTGTGATGAAATGCAAAAACAAAGCTCACCTCCATACTTCTGGAGAGTCCTGCCAACAGTGCAACTACAGTTAAGTTTGACATAAGCCTTATTTAAAAATCTGTGTTCTCATTAAGAGCTTCAGTACAAAAATAGAATCTCTGCTGTTTTTTTTTTTCTAGAGTAGCAACTAGAAAAGGCACAATTTCCAAGTATAAATGTCCATTTGAAGGAGCTGTTTGTACTCCTTTTTTAAATAAAAAGGAACACAAAAAAACTAAATCACAGAGGCACATATCTATTAGCTAAGTAACCAGATACAGTAGATAAAATATGTTCCTGAAACTTATAATTAAATATATTAAAACAGCCCATGAGCCTTGTGTCTGTAAATGAAATCATATAAAATTGTAATAAAAAGCTTGTGTTATTATTTTAATATTTAAATTCTAGTTCACTGTTCATACTGCAAATGCTATTTCACCTATCAGCACTGTTAAATTCCCAAGAAAAAGCAAGATTCCTCTGTTAACTTTAGATAGTTTTGCTTGGTGGTTTGTTTGTTGGTTGGGTTTTTTTTTTTTAAATATCAACCTGCAGCTCCTGCCAGTGTTGTGTTTTTCTTCCTGTAGATCACTTCTTCAAATGTGGACAGAACTGGAAAAGCCAGATGTGAGACACTGCACACAATCCCGGAAAACATGAGTAGAACATCATCTCCCTTTGCTATGCGCAGGCAACACCCCCTGGAGACACGGCGTTCCTTCCAGCCTAGGCGTGGTAGCCATTAGCCTTCCCCAAGCCTGGTCCAGGTGTGAAGTTTTCATAGATTGCCATTGCTGTCATGTTTTGGTAAATAAGATCAGTTTTCTTGTCTTTCTGGGATCTAATAATATCCATAACACACTGGTTTAGGAAGACGTACTGGTCCTGATGGGAGAAAGAAAAAGAAGGATAATGTATTTCTAGAAAATACTTGATTTTGGAAGTAATTCTGCTCCTAAAGATAGGATTTTGGTTTTGGATACATGCACTGAATGTTATCACAGAGTATTTTTTAGAAGTTGTACGTAGCAAATACGTTCATAGAAAATAGGGCTGGAAAAGACCTCATGATGTCATCTGATCAACCCTCCATAAAAAACTAGGATCAAATTTACTAACGCCTTCTTAAAAGACTGTCATGATGGAGATTTTACAGCCTTTTCCAAATCATCTTGAGTTAATCCACACACCTTTTTAGATCAAAGTGATAATTTCA